GGCAGTCTGATAATAGCCAAATTCGGTACAGGTCTGATACCACCATTGTCGCCCTGAAATATATGATATTATGGATATAAAGCTTTCAACAGTATTTTCAGATAAGACAGTTTAATATTTTGCATTCACTTAGATAAAGGGATGTCGCTAAGCCTGAAAATGAAACGTTTTGGCCTTCACGAACTTTTAAACTTCCGATGCTCCTTTACGAGTGTGTAAACTGAACTGCAAATGCAAATGTTTCAGTGGCTACACTTTAGCCATAGTCTTCACCATCGATGGCTAAATAAAAACAATTGAACAAAGCCGCCAAGAAATGGATACTTTGTCTCACTGAAAATTTGGCTCCATATTTGGGCGAATGCGCGATCCAGATCTATGGAGGTGTCACAGCTTGCTCATAATGAAACAACCCTCAGACAGTTGAACTGACCTCAAGAGAGAGATAACTGGATGCTGTCGATTTGGCGACAGTGCTTAAGGAATGCAGCGACTTAGCCATTGACTAGAGTTTGTTGAAAAAAAAATGCCGCATAGTCGGACGACAGCCCTCTGACGAGGCAAGAACAAATTTAATAAGTCGTTGCCGGTCCTTAGCTCGGTCGATAGATGCAATTGGCTTCAACGGAAAGAGCAAAAAACGGATTATTTATGCACAACGCATACATTATGGTCAGTCGGATTATTGATTGGTAATGACGCTTCAGTCCGTGTCTCACGAGACTTAATCAAGGTAGAGAGGGTTGAATTCGGAAGTTCTTCATGTGATTCGCAGTTGTCGGTTAAAACCAGAAGACGAGCATTTAACCCCTTACTTCTCATTAAGTAATTTTTTGATAACATGCGCGGAAAGACTCATCCAGTTCGCGCAGAGTTAGACTTCTTGCGGTTGACGTTGTCGTACGGCAATTAATGCTTCCTTGACGTCCCTGTTCAACCAGTGTATTTCTTTGATGATGCCGGTATATTCTGATCAACAGGAGTCTTGTCCTCGTTGTGTCGCTTGCTGACAATCTGAGATTTGTATATTCACATTGTTTCTTGACTTGATTGAGGCGAAACCGTTTTTTTCTGGTTCTTAGTTATCACATGACGTTCAAGTTCGAAAACGATCATCCATCTTCTCCAGCTTGACAGATTGGTCCTTGTTCTTTGAGTGACGGTGCACCCTGTTTATTCTACATAATATTTTTCCTAGTAATGGAAAATTTGTAATCCTTGTCTACCGAATTATTATTCTCAGAATTACCTGTAAAATTGTAAATTCATTAGAACTTATATAAACAACGCTGAGTTGCTATTAAAAAATGTTTGTGACTTTCAGCTCATTAAAGTTTTTATGATGAGATTCCCAGGGCTGTCAGGAAGAAAAAATGGCTTTGTTCAGAAGATCGATCTTAGTTTCCCTTCATATTTCTTAGATATTCGCGTTTTACAGAATTTCTAAATTTGCTTATGAGCAGTCATTGCTTCATTTCATTTGTTAATATCAGCACCTGCTATAAAGCAAGTTCAATGAATGACATCGAAGTTTGCCGCCTCGTTGAGCATCACTACCGCCTCTTGGAATCTAACTGCCGTCAACCACGTCAGTGCTCTAATGGGATTTACTTGCTTTGTACCCCCATTGCGAACTGAAACTACATATTATAAAACGAAGTGCAAGCTGGAAGTTGTGCATAGACGAAGCCACAGGTGAAGGGTGAAATGAAATGACCAAAACGCAGGCATTACGATTCAAATGTTATGGCGAATATATGGAAGCTCAAGTGACATGGGAGAAAGACGTTGCAATAAAATGTGATGAACTTTGAACAGCAAGAATGATTGAATGGGCACCCAGAGAATGAAACGGTTGTAGAAGAACCGAGTTCACGGTACCGAAATGAACGTACGTCAAGTACGACGTCTCCAGTATGATGCCAAGGGTCAACTTCCGTTCTTAAAAAATGTACGGAACCCTACATCAGCCTCCACACACTGAGCAAGAATGCACTATGGCCTCAGAAAATAACAATGGCACACTCTTTCGTAACCACAGAATCGGTGAAGTACTGTGGTAAAGCTATGAGTCAGGATTTGCAAACACAATGAACTGTATCTTCCTGTGCACGGCTATGGTCGTCATGTAGATTTAGGCGATTTCGGCTACTAGATCACGAAGTCGTTTACAGAAGGGGCTGCAGCAATTCCTTTATTTGGCTTCACATTAACTGACCTTGAATTCAATGCAATTCGCACCTTAAAAGCCTGATAATCGTCGCATCTAGCTTGTACAAAGTGTTATTTTATTCTGCGATGTCTGTAAAATCAATGAAAACTTACAGCTATCTTCGTTCTGAAACGTAACGTTTTTCAGGTGTTTTATCATCTGGCCATAGTCATATTCCAAACAAGGTTCGTTGTAAGAATCAAGGTAGTACTGGATTGCCTTTCCCATCCGAATTACTGGATCCACGATCGATTTGTTCGTCATAATGTCGCATATTCGATCAATGGTCAGGATTTCATGGTGGATGCCCTTAAACGATTCTTTTATTCCATAATGTAACTATACAAGACAATCAGAGATAACTTGCAAATTTTAAGTTATTCTGATGATTTACAACCATACAGTCAAATAAATGGCATGTATAGATTCATTTATCCCTTCTGCTCAAACACGGGAACCAGATAAGACAACGTTTTACCAAAATACCTACTGTAAATACAGTAACCTGCTGTGAAATATTTGCTGTTACTGTGAATTCTTTTGATACCTTAGAAGCAGGTTACTGCATTTTTAGTCGAAATGCACACGCTGCAACATCTTTTAGGTGAAACGTCGTAGAAACTCTCATGCAGAATTGTATCTTTGCATTTTATTAGCAAATGTTTCATAATAAGTTTGTAGATGACATATAATAGGAGTGATTAAATCAAAGAAATGACGCTGATGGGCACTTGCCAATTATACAGATACAAATTGCGGATGCGGCCACATGGTTGCACGCCGACATTGGTCATTGATCCGAACCTGCCCTAAAGCTCCTAGACCTGATCAACTCTACGAAACGGAATTGCTGGCACTAACTCGACTTACTATATGTCCCAAATAATAATCCCTAATGATATTTGGTGGACATTATCAAAAAAGGGAAGAAAATATGTTCCTTGTCACTTGCACGGCTAGAACCTGATGAATCCCCGTAATGAAGAGATCAAAACTTGTATATCTAAGTCGTCATCTATCTCTATAAAAGGTAATTTATGTCACCACTACAGTGACTAGAGACGTCGGTCAAACTTGTCAATTTAGTTCAGACGAAATATCTTATGAAGTTCATTTCAACATGTGTCACTGGGATAAATCGTATCGTTTTCTTTAACAGAAGAAGAATTGTAGGAAACGGATGCTTTCGGGAACGGAAGCCATTACGGTGATGCAAGAGACTGCAACAATAAAGCTACAGTAAAATGCAGTATGCAAGTACCGAAAAGTTTTTAAATGTAGAATCGGTAAAATATGATATAAACGAAAGAAAAACGAAACGAGTGTAAAATTGTAGTGTTAAAAAGGATGGGAATTAAAAACAGTTTGCGGGAATCACATTAAAAACTTCCAGGTTGATCAGAGGTCCACACAACTAGTGTAGTTTTTGCATATACTTCGCTTGGTAAATTAAATGCGCAAGAATTCATTAATAAGTGGCCACGGCTTGCCTCTTTCGCAGTCAGGAATCGTATCTTCCTTACGATTAAAATTGTGTTTTTATTCCAAGTAATGTGCAACAATACCGGAATGATTTGGAAGCATACAAAGATTGAGTTATTTGCTCATGCGTTGATGTTAATACTGAAAAATGCATAAAAACGGTATATTGATACACCACGAGAACGAATAACTCGGCCAATTGGGTGACTCACCAGTACTGACGTTTCAACTCATTTCTCACAAGTCTGTTTCAGGATGGTCCGCGTTGGTTTCTTTAGTTAGTTCTGTGTCCCGCAACTGTTGTGGCGCATGGAACCGAAGGTGTGCTTTTGGCCCATGCCGCTAGTTAAGTAGTTTTTTGAGTCTTGGACTTGATAAGGCTTATAAGGCCTTAACCCATCCGTCAGGAGTTCGTATCCTTTGTCGCGATTGACATTTTCGCAAGACTGGATAATTAGGGCTTTTTGATTCATCTGCCCAACCGGTTTCTTTCTTTAACGATGCCCGCCCAATCTAACCACTGGGGGAACAAAACCATTATCTGCTGCGCATTTCACGAAAAGGTAACTGTTTTTATGCGTTTTTCAGTTTTCACAATGATCTGGACGGTTCCTTCTGGTCGCGTCTTGATGTCTCTCAATTCTCTGAGGGATCTCTATGTGCTTTGAATATAAATCCTATCAGGTAGCCGAAACGTAGAATTAAATTTTTAAAATTTAAAAATCTGTCACGCCTAAAGCCATCTATTGTTAAAGCAGCGCGCAAGCTCATACAGCCAAGCCCATCGTTTGATTTAAGCGTTAAATCAGTAGTCATGGAGAAATATCTCGGCGCATGCTGTACGCTCCAACGGCTTTTAAAATAAAAAATGAGGAAAATTTGGACATCGATGTGCTTACACGGTTTACTTGGTTGTACTGTACGACGTCGCTGAACTTATCGGCAATCGTTTCGTAGAGATTAATCGTGCTCAGCTGATCTTCGGGGTCAATCTTCGTGCATAGCCTAAAACATCTGTCGAACTTTGAGGTTTGAACTGGCTGTCCATTCACCGCAGCCAGTGTTTCAGCTTCTGTTGTCCGACGGTTGTTTTCAGCAACGACTGCATCTTGAGTATGGCTGATTTTAGCGTAGAGACGCATTCCGGATCATATGCAGAGAACGAATTGCTCACTACTTTAAGATACTCTTAAGAGAAGCCAAAGATTACGCCAAGCAAGCACGCGTGGATTACAGACCTGGAAAATTTAGTTGCGCCTGCACCGGACCAGAGCTCGCAATTGATCCCGTAATCAAGTGCGGATATTTCAATCTGGACCAGGCTGACAACGCTCCTGAAACGTAAACAGATTTAACGAACTGCCCTACAATACTGTGATGTAGAGAATCAACAGAATTCATTTTCACCGACGATTTAACTCACTACAGTAAAACTACCTGCGTATGAACCGCCAAAAGTTATCCAGCGCGGCTGTACAAATCCGTATTGTTGATTCATCGTAGCTATAAAATACGCAATATCGGCTAGAGCCTGGTCGCTGGAAAGCCATTTAAGATTTGATGTCGTCATGTTTCTAAAATATAACCTGATGATCACGGATCACATGAAAAAGGTGAACATGGTTCGTAAATTTAGTATTTCCTTCTAAAATGAAGCGATTTCTACTAGTGAAAATTAACTAAGATTAAATAATAAGATTAGCAATAATAATCGCTGAGTTCCTTAAGCTGTCATTGAGAAATAATGGCCAACGTCCTGAGTATTGCATTTACTAAGCATTGCAGATAACAGGCGTACTTAGCTAATATTCAAGTATTGCTAGATACACTGCTGTTACCTATATCTTGCATTTGCTACTCAGAACATGCAAGAGATGATTCTCTGATAGACTCAAAATAACACACAGTTCTTCCAACCGTATAGATAGGTTTGTTGGACAATGCCGAAATAAAAAGGTTCCCCTTCTTTGGTCGTTTACATGATGAAAAATGTGTATGACCTGGCGTGCTTGCGAGCATCGATGAAACCAGTGGATAGACGATCCAATCATACACATTTACAAGGGCAAAAAGGCCGAATCGGCAATGAGGATGAGGATCTGTCATGACCTCTCTATTGAAGCGGCTAATTCATTTGAACTATTCTGACAAGGGGCAATCGACAAGGAGTCATCATCCACAATGGGCTTACCATGTACCCTATATTTCAGCACTACGAGAAGGTGGGATATGGGCTAGATGTATGACTATAACAGCATCGAATTACGGCAACGGGACGCTCAATAACCAAGAAATGCTGCCATGCCGGGTTTTCCCGTTTTTTACCCTTCAAATCCTGAAGAATATTTTTTCTCTATTTCCTCGTATCTGTTAATACGCATCGTTTGACTCTTTAGTCCTTGCCAAAAGTTGTTACGTTTTATTCAGAGAATACTGCTGAGTGCATAGTGGTGAAATCTTTCTTCACCTTCTTTGAAATTAAAGGAGAGAATTGCCCCCTGTCCTTCGGTTTTGGAGAGGTAGTCAGAAGGTACTTCCTTTAGAAATATTTGCTTTAAAGGCATAAAAAAGTAATTATTATTTGACCTCACTCAAATGTGTTCTCTCTGGCATTATACCCTTATCGTCTCCTTTCCTTAACGATGAATACATCGAGGTTGAATTTGTCAGAACCCTTCAACCCGACGCTGATCGAAAAACAAGCAATGTTCAAATGGAAAAGGCTACGAATGTTTCACACTAAAACGTGTTGATCTGTTACCGAAATCAATGAGGTTAAATTAATTTTGATTTCATTCTCATCTTCATCTTCCATGGCCGCTTCTCCTTTCGGGTCGCGGAGGCAGACGCGTTAGACAGTGCTTCCAACGTTCCCGATCCTGTACCAGAGTCTGAGATTTCAGAGAAGACAGCTGGAGTCTGGAACACCGCTCGCGATGAGCAACAGATTGCCATAACGAATAAAATGCATCTGGTCATGCAG